GTGTCAGGATCACCTGAACCCAAAAGGTCGAGACTGCCGTGAGCCATGATCATCATGATCATACCACTGCACTTCAGCTTGGACAACAGAGTGAGACCCTGACTCAGAAAAAAAAAAGTTGTAGCTGGCACCCCCTCCCGGCCCTGAACCGCCAGTCCCCAGCCCACAGCATGGCCCAGAGGAGGCTCAGAGATGCTCCTGGAATGTGTGTGCACAGCTTCCTGGCACTGCTTGGACCTGACCTCCCTGAGCCACTTCCCTCCCAGGTACCGACAAACCCACGCATCCCCACGGCTGGGGGCTCAGGCAAAGGATACAGGCTAGGCCAGAACAGAGGCCGCAAAAGAGCTGCAGGAAGGGCGGCTCGGAGCTGAGCAGTGGAGTCAGGACCAGCAGCAGCCATGGTAGCAGCCACGGTGGCAGAACCCCATGGGGCCTTCTGGGGCGGTGGCCCTGCCCAGCCAGCATGGCCAGGTGGACAGGCATGTATCCACAGCCGCCGGCGGCACCGGACACCCCAAGGCCTGCCAGCAGCACAGCCAGCAGCCCAGTGGCCAGCGTGAGCAGGGTGGAGGCATGCAGGAACCTCAGAGTGCCCAGGTGGCACTCTTGCTGCCAGCCCAGGGTGGGCAGGAGCAGCAGGCTCAGGAGCAGGCCCGGCAGGGCTGTGTGGCCCAGGGCATGGGTCAGTAGCCGGTGCGCTGGGAGAGAGAAGGGGCTCATGTGCCTGGCTGGTGGCCCCAGCCTCCAAGGCCATCCCAGGTGTGCCAGGGCCATCGCTGAGCCAGCCTCCCTCCCTGTAAGCCAGTCTGCCCACTGCCAGCAGTTAATCATTGGTAGGGGGGGCAAGGGCTTCCAGACACTGTGGCTACTCCCCTGCTGTGTTAAACCTCCACTCTGCAGAGCATCGTGAGGGTGCTTCACACACATTACCTGACTCACACCCAGTAGAGCAGTTCAGATGACACTGCCTGCTTCAATCCCGGAGCTACCGCTTTCCCCGCCCCCACCAACCCCCAGCTGTGTGGTCTTTGACAAATCACTTAACCTCTCGGAGCACCATCTGGGTTCCTCAAATGTAAAGTGGAGCTGTTTGTTATTACTGGGAAACAGAACCTGGGCGAGGGCCACTCCATGAACCCCCAGCACCTCCTCCCCATCCTCAGGCTTAGCTCCACGTGTTAGTTCTTATCTCAGGGCAAAGCTGTCAGAAAGGAAGGCCATCAGAAGAGAACTCCTACCCAAGGTTCACACCCCACCCTGCTGGCCCCTCTGTTGGGTCCTCTGCTCTTCCTTCTCCGCTGTGTGTCTCATCCCTCTTGACTACCGCAGAGCACATATGGCTCCCACCACGCGGTCTTAGGCCCTACAGCAAGTCTCCTGCCTCCTCGGAGGTCTGTGTAGCTGCCCTCACCCTGCCAGGGGTCCAGCAGCAGCTCCGGGGTCAGGGTGAGGCGGGGGCCAGCTCCCAGCAGCCACAGGCCGCACAGCAGCAGCAGCAGGACGGAGGCGGCGAGAGGCAGCACCCGGGGGGCCTGGGCATGCATGGCTTGGCCGAGGGTGGGCAAGGGTGGTCTTGGGGCTGTGTGCTGGGAGCAAAGGAAAACAGTAACAACAGTGATTAGTATTGCAGCTTTTACCTCACGGATCCCCTCTCATCTTCCTTACCAACAGTCCCATTTTACAGAGGCAGAAATTGAGGCTGGAGAGACAGGCCCAACAGCTTGGCCACAGCAGACGGAGCCCAGACCCTAACTCACCATCTTGCCATCCGCCTGCCTATGTGTGAGGATGGGCAGGGAACAGGCACAGAGTCCTGAGTCCTGATGGGCTCCGAAGAGGAGTCTTGAGGGGAAGGCACAGGGATGCTGAACTGGGGCCCAGGACTCCCAGAAAGAGACGTACAGTCCCCCAGGGCAAATTCAGGGCCATCGCTGGCTCTCTCCTGTCTCCCACCACTGTGCCCAGCCTCAGAGGTCCAGATGGCCTCAGCTGCCCTTGCCGAGGAGGGGAGCAGCCAATGGGCAAGGAGGGCCACCGGAAGCCAGCAGGAGTCCAGTTCCCTGAGCCATACTGAGTGACCGGGGACTGAGACTTCCCCTTCCTCCCCAGCCCTGCACACAGCTCCTCTGGCCTGAGCCTCTCTTTGCACGGGAAGGTTCCACTATCCACTCCACCCACCTCTTTCTGCTGTGTCTCCAGCAAGTTTCCCAACCCCCGAGCCTCTCTTTCCTCATCTGTAAAATGGGGATTAAGAGAATCCTTTCTTCACGGGATAATGAAAAAAAAGAAAATAAGCTAAGGCAGAGCCTGGCCCACAGCTCCCGCCCAATAAGCAACTACCATCCCCACTAATTGTGGGAGGCCCAGATAGCCATCAACTGGCCTACCAAGAGAAGGCCTCAGTATGGAGGTGGCCTCCTGCCTAGCTGGTTCCAGCTTTGCCCTCAGTCATGGCCAATCCCTGCCCCCAAGTCTTTCTTACCTGTGCTCCCCTACATCCAGCCTGTCCTATAGGCCCTCTGGAACCTCTTCACCCCTGGAACGCCTCTCTGTCTCAGAACTCCCACTGAGGTGATTCAGGGCAGGAAGCAGGATCCTAGGAGACAAGAAGACTGCCTAATATGCTCCCTTGCTGAGGGCATTGTTCCCATCTACTGGTTTACTGCAGGAAAAATGTGGAAAGCTTGCCTGCAATGTCCTTTCCTCTATCTCTCTAACAGGCAAACTCCTATTCACCCTTTGAAGCCCAGCTCAAATGTGCCCTTCCCTTTCTCTGGCCCCCTACATCATGACTCTAATGGCCAGTCTGTCTCCCTAGGCAGGTGGTCTTAGCTTATAGGACAAGACCTCCTCTTACTCATTCCCAAGTTCCCCAGGGTAAACAGTCGGTACTTTCTATGTGTTCACTGAAAAAAGGACACTAGCTTGTTTCCTGGTCCTTCCTGCTGGGGGATTTTTAAGGGTGAGTCCTGCCCTTTGCTGGGCCTAAGAACCCACTTAGGGGGCTGAACTGAGGTCCAGGAAGGTGGGCAGGTGCCAGCCGAGCAGGGTCTAGAGCCAAGGCAGCCACAGCAAGCCTCCTCTGCACCCTCACAACCACTCCCCTTGGGGAACGTTGGTAAGGGTGAAGGACTTGCCCATGGACACTCAGAACTGGGACCCGAGCCCTCCAGATCTCAGTTTTTTGTTTTTTAAAGCAGGATTTGTTGAGCGGCCAGAAAAGCCCCCAGAGTGGGAGGGGACCCGAAGAGACTGCCTCCGTTTCTTGAATCTGTGCACCACCAGGACCTGCCTACCTTACTGGGAAGCTGGGAGGACGGAATGGGAAGGCGAGGACTGGAGTGGGGAACAGAGTGAGGGTCCCAGGGTCTGTCTGGGTCGAACTCAGCTCTGTCACTTTGAGAAAGTACTCAATTGCCTTAGGCCTCAGTTTCCCCTTCCGCAAAAACAAGTGTATTGGATGGGAGAGAATTAAAGGGCCTTCTCAACCTCGACCGTTACTGGGGGTTCTCAGAGCCGGGCGCGGCGTTCCGGGGTCCCCACCCAGCCGAGCGGCCTCGGCCCCCTCCCACGTTGGTCCGGGCCACGCGTCCGGGGTACTCACTGCGGAGCGCGCCCCCACCCCGGAAGGCCAGGCGGGGCCCCCAGCTGGGAGTCGGGACTCTGGCTCCAAGACCCATCCCGCGTACACCCAGGCGCGTGACCCCGGCCGAGTGGCCGGCGCGCCACCCCCTCCCCCGCCACCCGCCGATTAGTCAGCAGTTGTTCCAGGCTGGGGTCCCTTCCCCCAGCCCTCCCGCCGCTCTCCGTTTCTCTCCAGGGCAGACTCTTCAGAGACGCTCCCTAGAGCCAGCGGACGTAACCATTCCCAACAATCTAGCCTCGTGCGGGAGGATCGCTCCGGCTGATAGACCTGCTCACCGGCGCTCTAGCCCCGTCAGTGCTATTTTGACCCTCGCGTCACGTCCGGCGCTCTTTGGAGAGGACTGGGACAAGGGTCGCGGGCGTGAAGACCGAGGAAGCGGTGGGTCATCGCTCCTTCCCCCACCCCCGTGGCATGGCCCGATGGTAGCGGCCGAGGTTGCGGGCTGTGCGCCTGCGCAGTGCGGCGCCTAGCGGGAAAGCGAGGGGGAGACGGACGTTGAGAGAACGAGGAGGAAGGAGAGAAAATGGCGTCCACGGGTGAGTGTGGTGGAACTGCGGCCGCGCCGGCGATGGCCGGGACGGCCAAACTGGAGGCCATTCGTCTCTGAGGGCGGCCGGAACGGCTGAGTGGAGTTTCCGAGAGGGGTTTCGAGTACCCGTAGCGGCCCGACGAGCTCGGGTCCTCGCGCTTATCTCCCCTCCCCCCACCGGGCGGGCCGGTTCTGGAACCTTCCGGCGCCCGCGGCGCGCGGGGGGCTCGCGGCCGCGGGGGCGCGCGGGGCCCGCCATTGCCTCCATTGTGTGGCGGTCGTCTCCCCGCGCTCCGGGCCGTCCGCCACGTGGGCGGGGCTTGCGGCCTCGGAAGCCCCGAGTGAAGGGGGGGATCTGGCTAGGCCTCGAGCCGTTCACCCCGAAACCCGCGGGGGGGGCCCAGGCGGCGCCTTCCCAACCGCGGGCTCGCTGCCCCTGTGACGTCCTTCTCCCGGTTTTCAGGGAGGCGGCCCTAGCCCAAGGGCGACTCTCACCGGGAAGCCAAGGGGAAAAGGCAAATAAACAAACAAAAAAGACGTCGCAGGTTTGTGGGCCGAGGGCGCCGGCCTAAGAGCGGGAGCCCCGTCATCCTTAAGGCCCGGTCGGCTGGGACCGCTGGCGCTGCCGAGCTGCCCTTTCGGCGGCTTCCAGCTCCAGACCGAACTTGTGCACAGCTGGGCTTTGGACGGAACCTGCCGCCCCAAGTGCCCCCACGGTGCTGCCCTCCCCAAAAAGCAGTCGCGTGGCTTTCCAGGGCCCTTTTTCAGCAGGCGCCGAGGGACGTCCGTTGTGTAATAAGGCCAGCCTGGATCGGGGGCCCGAAATCCTACCAGAAAAAAATTCCTGGCCTGCTGACCTGAGGAACAAAAGGCCGAGCCGGCTTCCGAATGACGTGTAGGGAACGGTCTCGCACGCTTCTTCGCCTGCGTTAGGCCGACGGGCTTGCTTATTTCGTGGACCGAGAGGGGGTGGGAAAGGAGAGCCATCGTGGACTTGAAAGAAAGCGTAGGGTGGGAGTTCTAGAATGTGGTGATTAGGGTGGTCGTGGCTGCCAGGCGTGTTTGGGTGTAGCCTCGCGTCACCTGCAGTTCGCGGCCTGCTGGTACACTAACCCGGGTTATGGGCAGGGTGGGGCGTTCTTGCCTGGGGGGGTGTTCTTAGGCCGCCTGACTCCAGGCCTTAGAGACAGTGAGAGAAGAGGAGGGAAAGGTTCCTGGGTCCGGGTTTTAATTTGCAAAGAGTCCAGAATCCAACGTAAGAGCAGTTTAAGCACTGTCCCCCGCGGTGTGGTCAGTTACCAGGTAAGTGTTGGCCTCTCCGGCCCGGATACCAAGGAGTGTCCTTAGAAGAGAGACTCTGAGATACCACGATCTAAAACGTCCTGGTGGGAAATGGTTTCTTCGGTGCCCTTTCCACTCTCTTTTCTTTTCCGAAATCCTGAGAAGGCAAAACGTGTACTTTTAAATTTTTACGTGACTGGACATGTGTGTCTCTCCTCCCCCCCTTAACTTTGTTCAAACCTGGTTAACTGGTAACCACCATGTGCCGTATAGTGTCAGAATTACAATTGTGGTTTTACATAGACGTTCTTTTTAGGCCTGGCTGTAGAACGCGCAGCGGACTGACAAGTCACAACTTATCTAGATCATAGTTTTTTTCCCTGCAAGATGTAGGAATTAGGCTTGACCTTTTAAAAGCTTTTCGATCCCTTCTGACCTTACAGCAAAGCAGGTTGCCCTTCCACAAAGTTGCCCCCTGCTGATTTTAACTCATGTAGCTCCAAATCGCTACAGCCTGGATAGTGACTGCCCTAAAGTATCTAAGTTGCTCCTTGGCTTAGTATTAGATATTTTCTCTCCTCATGTATATATCTCATGTAGAAAAGTACCTAAAGCTATGTCCAGTTTAGCAAAGAATTAGAAACTCCAAGTAACTACCATTCAGACCAAGAAGAAGAACATTGTCAGCATTTTATTTTATTTTTTTATCTGCCAGCACTTTAGATGTGATGCTGCACCCCAGCATCAAAGCCCCCTCTCTCCCCTTAGCCTGTGATATTTTTTATTTTATTTTTTTGAGTTGGAGTCTCACTCTGTCGCCCCTACTGGAGTGCAGTGGCCACTCCTGGCCACCGCAGCCTCGACCTGCTGGGCTCAGTCGATCCTTCCGCCTCAGTCTTCCAAGTAGCTGGAACTACAGGCGCGTGCTACCATGCCCGGCTCATTTTTGACTTATTGTAGAGATGAGGTCTCGCCAAGTTGCCCAGGCGAGTCTCAAACCCGCAGGCTCAGGCAATCCACTCACCTCAGCCTCCTGTGATTTTTTTTAGTGAGATCTTCAGGTGTACATTTGGTGATTAAAAACACAGTTGCTGAATATGACCAGTGTGCAACTGTAGCGTGTTTGAGAACATACAATATTTGTGTGCTCTGAAAAGATAAACATAAGTTCTCGTGAAACAAAATTTGCTACCTCTCTTAGCCCACTGTGGACACTGATTTGAGGTCATTAGCTGTTCTGTATCAGCTTTGCCAATTTTATGTTTTACATAACTGCTCTTGTGTAAAAGTCTTCTGGCAAACATTGTGCTTAATGACGTGATTTCGAATCACTTATGCAAAGACCTCAACAAAATGTAGGTTAAAATATTTGATTTTAGATGCTTCATTGGTGTGTTTATTTTGTGACTCACATGGAAGAAATGATCTGCATTTAATTTTCATATGTCACATACAACATGTGACTTGTAGTGCTATTGAAGATGCTTTAAAATTGTCTTGAACAGATTATATTGTTCTTTGAGCAGTTGATTTGATGATGATGTTCCAGGGTTCTGAGTTAAGGGTGTACAAAGGAAGGAAAGTAGTCCTGTGAAGTATAGAGCAGTAGAAAAATTAGCCAACATAAATGAATGGATTCAGCAAAGCATTCTGAAGTCAGGCCAGGTGATTGTGAGGCTGGCTTTGAATTACATGGAGTGGGATAGAACACCTCCATGAAGACCTGAGATGTCAACTGTTGCTTTTGGATGGGAGACTACTTTCTGATTGCAAAAGAAAAGACTCTCTTGTTCTCTCCTAATGACAGTATCGTCTTCAAACATAGAACAAGATATGTATTCTTGTGGAGAGAAAAGAATTGGATGGAATTTTTTTTAAATAAATAATTTAACTGCCTTTAAAAAAAAAAAAAAACAACCCTTACATAACATTAATTCAGTAGTGCTGTGAAAACCTCCTAACTATTTTATTTTCTATTTGTTTCTCCTACTTGTAGACTCCTCAGTGGACCAGAGTTTTTAGTCCCTTTTGGAATACGTTGTAAATTTAATAGGAAAGGAAAAATAGAGGAAGACTTACTTAGAGAAGGGAAGAAGATTTGTGACGTTATTTAAAAAGTTGAAATCACTTTGAGTTTTAAGAAAGAGTATAGTTTTACCAAGTTTTTCCCAGAAGCATTAACTACTTTCTCCTCTTGGCCAATTTTAAGGATTCTGCTTTGCTAGGATGTGTAATATATCTAGCTTTTGAGTTATTGTGCAGATGTAGCTCTGACACAGCAAACCCTTTAAAACACTGGATTGTGGTAACCGTTCTGTTTTCTGCCATTCTATTTCACTGTCATTGTGCTAGGAAATCATGTTTGGTCTAACTTGCTCAAACGAGGCGAGTGATAGAAAAACTAGTTTTTAAGGAGAGGTAACTACTAGTGTAACCAGTCTGGTGTTAAGCATTGTGGTGGTGTTATATGAAGGTAAAACTTAGGATCCTGTTAGTGGGTCTTGTTCTCAGTTAACCTGAGATGATGATGATGGTGGTCATGATCATGATCATGTATTTAAAATGACAGCCTGTGGTTGTGGGAACATGCAGAGTATCTGTGCCAGATCAGCTGATCTTGACCTTATTAGCTAGCACCATATTCAAACTTTCTTGAGTTTAACTGGCTTACACATATTGGGGGGGGGTTGGTGTTGAAAGGTGAGAGGGACTCATTTGGACCTGTGTCCGCCTGTAGGTTAACCCTGTAAACACTTTAAAGAATTCCTCCCGCCACCTGAATTCCATCCTCCTTTTTTCTCTTCTCCTTGTCTCTGCTGACTTTACACTGTTCTCTCTTTGTTTTCCTTTAGATTATAGTACCTACAGCCAAGCTGCAGCCCAGCAGGGGTAAGTCAGTCTTTTGCAACCATATTGTCTGTGATTAATGTTTTGAGAGTGCCAAGCCTCCTGTAGTTGTAGAGGATGTAGTAATGTGGGATTTGAATGTTCTATATTCAGTTCTTGCATGTGATTCTTTTGCAGCTACAGTGCTTACACCGCCCAGCCCACTCAAGGATATGCACAGACCACCCAGGTAATCTTTAAGTTGATTACATATAGCTGCATCTCTGAGTAAAGCACTTTAGCCATTAAAACAATAGCTGGTCTGGATCAAGTTAGATGCTTTGTTCTCCGTTATGATGTTTAAATATTTTTAACTTAATCATCACAGCAATTCTTCAAAGGAAGTTGATGATATGACCATTTGCAAATGAGAAAATTACAGTGCTTAGATACTATGTAACTTGCCAGGGATTGCAGTTGCACTGAAAGTGGCAAGGTTAGATCTAAAAAGTATGACTGCCTAGCCAAGGAGCTCCTAAGCGCTATACAGTTCATGAGTC